AATGCCCTAAGGCAAGGAAGGAAGAGGAAGCTCCCGCAGTTGTGGGGCTTGCTGACTTGGAAATTAACTAGGGCTGCCAGGGCTCAGAGATATCAGGTCCCTGAGAGCCCATGGTAACCATAAAAGTGGGGGACCAAAACATTGACTTTATGGTGGATACAGGAGCAGAACTGTCGGTAGTAACAAAACCTGTGGCACTCCTGTCCAAAAAGACTACCGCTGTAACTGGGGTATCAGAAGAAGAGATGATTAAACCGTTTCGCCAGCCCAGAAAATGTCAGATGACGGGGGGGACACCAGGTGATTCATGAATTCCTCTACATTCCTGAGTGCCCAGTACCCGTATTGGGAAGAGACTTGCTCTCCAAACTAGGAGCACAAGTGACTTTCTCCCCTGAGGAGAGGCCCACCTTCTGGACGGACTCTATGACTTATTTGCCCTCTCTCTCCATACCAACCCAAGATGAGTGGAAGTTGCGTGAGCCTCTGAAGGCAGAACCGGGTGGGCCAGAAAAGCATGAGGGAGCTAACTCAGTTATTCCCTGAGGTCTGGGTGGAAGACAACCCCCCTCCTCCCAGGCTGGCTAAACATCATGCCCCAGTGATAATAGAACTCAAACCAGGCACCATCTCAATTAGAGAGCGCCAGTACCCGCTATAGATAGAGGCCCGAGCCGGCATATTGCCCCACATCAATAGATTGAAACAAGTAGGCATTCTAGTAGAGTGCCAGTCGGCTTGGAATATGCCAATCCTGTCAGTCAAAAGGGAAGGAGGACAGGACTATAGGCCTGTACAAGATCTCAGGCTAGTCAACCAGGCTACTGTGACTTTCCACCCCACTGTTCCAAACCCTTATACCTTACTTAGCCTCCTCCCACCGAGGACTAAAGTTTAAACTCGCCTAGATCTCAAGGATGCCTTCTTCTGCATACGCCTCGCCCCAGCATCACAGCCCATCTTTGCCTTTGAATGGGAAGATCCAGTCGGGAGCACCAAACAACAGCTCATCTGGACTCCCCCACAAGGGTAAGAACTCCCCAGCCATCTTTGGGGAAGCCTTGGCTTCTGATCTGTACTCATCCCATCTGGAAGAGTATGGATGTCAGCTCCTATAATACGGGATGACCTGCTGCTGACTGCCTGAGACCAAGGAAAAATGCTGGAAAGGGACAAATGCACTGCTCCAGCTGTTTATGGAAGCAGGTTACCGGGTGTCGAAGAAGAAGGCACAGATCTACAAAGAGGAGGTAAGGTATCTGGGGTTTGTTTTGAAGAAGGGGTCAAGGTTCCAGACCCTAATTGGGTCCTATATACTGATGGCACTAGCGTGATAAAACAGGGACAACAGCTCTTGGGTATTCCAAAGCGGAAGGGGCCATCAACAGTGAAAAGGGATGGTGGGAATTGCCAAGTGGCAAATTATTGGTACCGGAGGAGCTGGCACACACTCTGGTAAGCCAAACACACCAAGCGATCCACCTAGGCCATGCTGCCTGCTCACAGGTGAATGCTGCCTCTTGGGTATTCAGACAAAAACCTGCCCCTTGAACACCTGGGAGTGGACTTCACTGAAATGAAACTGCACCGACACTACCGTTACCTGCTGGTCATGGTATGTATGTTCTCTGGATGGGTAAAAGCTTTTCCTACCTGAACTGAAAGAACATCAGAAGTAGCCTGGTGCCTGCTTAGGGAAATAGTTCCCAGATTTGGATTTCCTACCAGCATTGTATCAGGCAATGGCCCGGCTTTTGTAGCTGATTTAGTACAACAAGTAAGCAAAACTTTAAACATCAAATGGAAACTGCACACTGCATATAGACCCAGAGTTCTGAGATGGATTGAGCCAACTGGACACTTAAAGAGACTCTCCAAGTGGATCAGAGAGACTGACTGCTCCTGGGTGGACTTGCTTCCGATGGCTCTGCTTAGACTCAGGATGACCCCACAGTCCCAAGGCTATTCTCCATACGAACTTGTGTGTGGGAGCCCCCCTCCCATAATAAAACAGGTATCAACAAATTTGCCTCAGGTAAGGGGGGAATAGGATTTCACAGCAGATGGAACTGGGTAAAGTAAAAAATTGGGTAACTAAGTTTGTACAAGAAAGGGTGCTGTTCCCCCTTGGGGAACAGATTCATGAGTTTACACTTGGTGACCAAGTATGGGTCAAAGATTGGAAACATGATTTGCTAGCCCCTTGGTGAAAGGGCCCTTATGTTGTTCTAACTACCCCTACTGCAGTTAAAGTTGCAGGTATTGTCCCTTGATCCATCACACCAGAGCGAAGAAGGCATACCACGCTGACCCAGAGGACGCTGAGTGGACCACCCAGTAGGACCCCACCGACTCACGGGAAACCAAGATCGTTCTGAGGAGGAAGAAGAAAACGAGGCCCCAGACGAGCCCTCTACAGGATGGAGCTGGGTAAACGACTCCTGCTGCTCAGCCTCACCAGCGCAGTTCTGAACCTGACCACTGTCCCTGCACAGGACAACGTCTTCATCTCGTGGGCGAAATTCCACAACTCCTCCAACTGTTGGGTACGTGGGGCTATGCCCCTGTCAGTAATGGACAGACTCCCCTGGTGGGTATCGCCACTTCTTTCCTCTCTCTCACCAACCATAACCTTTCTTTGCTCTCCTGGTGTAAGAAGCCATCAATGGGCCAGGGACATAGGGTTACATTTAACATGAATACCAGACTTGCGGAGATAACAAAGGCTTATCCTCATATATGAAAATTAAAGAGGAAAAGGGCTCCCTTACAAAAGGGGGACAGGCCTCCCGGTACCTTGAGCAATACTACCAGGTCTGGGATGAATATTTCTGGATGACTCCTGAAAAAGGACAGTGATTGCACCTGCTACTATTTTCTGGGAACAAAAAGAACAGATAGTTGGATTTGGCGACCGTACAAATCTTGGAAATTACCTATCACCCCAAACAGTCTGCTCAGTGGCCCAGTTCCGACTGGAAATATAATCCTGGAATCTGCTGGGTAGCCCCCAATGGGACCCAGTGGGGGTCCCCACTGGGACCAGGGTTATGGCCAGGGTTACCAGTTGGCTGGGTGGGGCATTGCACATTAGGATTTGCTTTCGCCCATGGCAGTATTAAGCCTAGCCTACACCAGCCTCCAGTAAACCTGTCTTATCTGCATGCAAGATGGACATACCATGTCATACCATGTTCCAATGGTATGACTATCTTGCTGCCTTGTTTGTACCCTCTGTTGGGACAACAGATATCATGGTTAAGGTAGAGGCCTTAACTAATTTCACTAAACAGGCCCTCTTAGACAGTACTAAAACCATTAAGGCTAAATACCGGCACGAGACCGATAGTCAACAAGTACCGTAAGGGAAAGTTGAAAAGAACTTTGAAGAGAGAGCTCAAGAGGGCGTGAAACCGTTAACGAAGAACAGATTCAGTAATTCAAAATAGGACTCACGGCAGCCCAAGGAGGGACTTGCGCCATAATTAAAGTCGAATATGTGCAATGAAAATATCCCCTTTTGGACATCAGTCCTCTCCCGGGCAAAGGGAGATGGTGGGAAACCATGGTAACTGTTGCTATAGTAGTCTTGGTCATACTGCTCTGTGGGCCCTGCTTCCTACCATGCCTGGTGAATTTTGTGACCCAGAGGTTGATAGCATTCTCTCATGTGGGTGGCAGGAGGGCTAAGGTAAAATATATCTCAATAAATGATGCTCGTTATGGAAACTAAGAGCATTAAGAGAGGAGAATGAAGAAGGAATTCATAGGGCCTGGACTTCATCTCAGGCCTGTCCGTGCTGATCGTGCTAGGCCGCCTCTCCAGTGGACTCTGAACTCTGTGCTTAGTGCCTGTGGGAACGACAGTGGAAGGATAAGACCCCCTCTGGACAGGGGAACCTTGGAGAGAAAACAGAAACTAATCACCCCTGCGTCAGGACAGTATCTATTGGAATGTAACCACAGGCTTATCGGTTATTAACTGGTTGGAATGTAACCGGGCTTATTGATTATTAACTGTTTAAACACATAACACGTGAAGGATGGGGTTATTGTGATTGTATTTAGCCTTCCTTTGTAAGCCTCAAAGGATTTGGGGTGGTGGGTTTGGACACGTATACATGGGGTATAAAAGATTTTCACAAATGCTGGTTGGGGTCCTTGGCTAAGAGGAGACTCTGCCTTGGGCCCGCCGGTGTAATACACTGCACTCCACGATCTGCATTGTCCTTCTGAGTGAGTTTGTTTCCCAGAAAGCATGGCTATAACAAGAATGTTGTTGCTCTACTTTCTGTGTGTGTTTTTCTAGGTTTTATGAATCAACTGCTACAGTTCATTGTCTGCTCCATTTAGAGAGCTCTATTTTCCCACATCTTTAAAGTATAATGACCAAGGAAACATTGAAGATAGAAGCATATTCATCTTTCACATATTATGTATTCTAAAAAATATTCAGTCTGCATTCACCAGTACCAACTTTGTACAAGATTTAGTTTCATAGCAGAATTGAGAATAAAGTATAGACATTTCCCATATACCTCTTGTTCCCACATGTGGACAATCTCCCTACTTAGCTTTCCCCACCAGAGTGAGCATTTGTTACCACTGATGAAGCTACATCGGCAGTAAATAGTTAAACTCTCTAGTTTACCCCAGTGTTCCTCTTTTAGCAATGTGCACTCCATACCTCTAGAAAAGTGTTTAATAACATGTGTCCATCATGACAGTTTACCACAAATTATTTCATGGTCCTGAAAGTTCTCTAGACTTAGGATATTCATAGTCCCTCCTTTGAAACCCACAGTAATCACGGACCTTTTTAATCTCTTCTATATTTCTTACTAGATTCCCAGGTGACTGAGTGGTAAGGAATCTGCCTGCCGATGCAGGACATCCAGGTGATGCAGGTTCGATCCTTGGGTGAGGAAGATCCCCTGGAGGAAGAGATGTCAGCCCACTCCAGTATCCTTTCCTGGGAAATCTATGGACAGAGGTGAGCCTGGCAGGCTACAGCCCCTGGAATCACAAATACTCAGACACAACTGAGCACATATATGAACATTTACCTACACCAAAAAGTCATATTGTAAAAATCCTACTTTTGGTAGCATTTTCAAATGGGCTTCTTTCACTTAGTAATGAAGGAGGAAACAGACAGAGCTGGACTCCGTCTTAGGCCAGGCTGTGAGCATTAGGCTACATGCACGGTCACCTTCCCAGTGGACTCTGAACTTTGCACCCTGGTGTCTGTAGAAATGGCATACCAATGGGAAATCAGATCCCACCCCGCCTCCCCCATAAAAGAGCCTCAGGAATTGTACTTGGACTCTCTTGTCTAAAAGAATATGTTAATTATCTCTGTAACAGAACAAAGTGGTCAATTAAATTCTGTTTATGGGGATATGACCACAGGCCTGCTGAAAAATATCCACTGTTTATTGAGTCCTGTGACACATGAATCATGGGATAACTTTGATCGTACCTCTCTTTTACCTTGTCCAGACTAGTTTCAAGGAATTTGGGGAGGTGGGTTTGAGCAAGTACACTTAGGGAATATAAAGTTTTCACAAAAACTGTTCAGGGTCCTTGGCTAAGAGGAGACACTGCCTTGGCCCCGCCGGTGTAATAAACTGCACTCCACTATCTGCACTGTCCTTCTGAGTCAGGTTGTTTCCCAGAACGCGTGGCTACAACTGCAAAATGCATGGAATGATTGTCAATGTATTTTATGCCTTGAAAGCTTAACATGCAAAAGCTTGAGAACTACCTCTGCGCCTATATTCCTGCTCAGTAAATAAGTTCATCACTACCATTTTTTAAATTCCATACATATCTGTTAAGACTATATTTGCACAAATAGAGATCGGACGTGGACACTGCAGGAGAAGAAGAGGGGGACCAATTGAAAGGGTACCATTGACATATATACACCACCATGGGTAAAATGTTGGAGAAGACTCTTGAGAGTCCGTTGGATTGCAAGGAGGTGCAATCAGTCCATCCTAAAGGAAATCAGTCCTGATATTCATTGGAAGGGCTGATGTTGAAGCTGAAACTTCAATACTTTGGCCATCTGATGTGAAGAAGTGACTCATTTGAATCATTTTAAGAAGTCCGAGAGGCAGCTCTTCTGATCTGCATTTCATTTCCATATTGCAAATATCAAATGCTACAAAGAAGATTTGCCTAACCCATCATTTCTAATCCCAGTGAGTTTTTTGTACTTTCTCTTTACTCAACTAAGCCTTTATTCTCTTTACACTTAGGGTAGTTTAAGCAAATTTACCTGTGTCCACAGTAAATATGCCTCAGCTCCAGGCAGCTGACTTCTTGTTCACGCAGATGGAAATTAGACTGAAATGTGCATATTGCAAGCACCAGCCACTGCCTCTTAGAAATGCAAAACCTTAACCAGGCAATGGGATATAGTTTCAAATAGAAAGAAGAGCTGTTGTTGAAGCCTAAGGATCTTTAATTCTCTGGATTGCTCACTATAAACTCATTAGCTGAATTTTAAATTTCTTGGGGTTCTTCTGAACCTGGCTAGCACACATGGAATTTAGAATTGTTTCCTTTTCACACTTTGCTTATTTTTAGTCTCTCCAAAAGACTCCTGGTTATGTAGCAGATTTAGGGAAAATGTTAGAATTTGCATGTTTGGCTTTGAGCTTAAAGATGATCTTGGTTATAAAAAGTGTGCAACTTTTCTCCTCTTTTTGGTCTTGTATTTTGATACTTATTTTGTGACAGTTTTCATGACCTTCCATAATATGGATGTACAAAAACTATAAAATATATAAAAATTAAAAGAATAATTTTTATATACTAGCTAGCTATACAGGAGTCATATCAACATTTTTGTACAATTATGGCATTGAAAGACATTTTGAATCATTCAGTTATTAAAATCAGTCTGAAATCCCATGCCATTCTTTTGCATGTTGAAAAAATATGGTATGTTGTTGCAAAACTCTTTACCCTGAAATTACAGTAACATATGTTTTGCAATAAGAAAGTAAAGTTGCTTCAGGACCTTGTCAAAGTCAGATAAGCAGATAACCACATACTTTAGACAAAATAGCTTTTAAATTCTTCATAATAATAAATATTTAGGGTACCAGGAGACAATGATCAGTCAAAAGCTTATTCTAATGTCCACCACTTCCTTATCCGAAATGGTGCAAGCAAAATTTGTTTTTTACTCTCTGTTGGTGAAATAAATTTCTTTTTCAACTGCTAGTAGTTCAGGACTTGCACTTTCTTGAGGGTGCATGCCAAGGAGCTTGTTGTAATCTTTAGCTACGGTTCTACAGGGATGATAAGGCATCCCTCATCTTCATGGGGGAGGCATTGGGACCCATCCACTGTCTTGCCAACAACCATAGGAACATCTACTCCCAATTCTGCTACATCATTTAGATCAGGTCAACAGAGAGG